AGGATTGTGGAATATAAGTCTCCAAAGTGTCTGCTTAGGCAGCTATAGCAAAATGTCACAGAATGGAGGGCTAAAACAGTCATGCATTTCTCACAGCCCTAGAGGCTGAGAAGTTCAATATCCAAGTGCTTGTATTGACAAGTGCTCTCTGCTTCTTAATGTTCTTGCACGGTAGAGAGAGGAGATGGGGGAAAGAAGGAGAAAATTCTCCTCCATTCTTTCCCCCTCATCATCTTCCTCATCCTCCTTTCTCCACTTCTGTGTTTGTCTATCTGCATCCATACTGGGGACTGAACACAAGGCTTCACAGTGCCAGTCAAGCGAATGCCACTGAGCCAAATCATCAGCTCTCCAGTCTCTTCTGGTAAAGATGCTAATCCCATCCCCATTCTCCATTCTCATCTAAACACATCCAACGCTAATCGCACCCCAATGTGCCCACATCCAAACACCGTGGAGGTGCAGTTTGAGGATAATAACACCAAGGGAGCACAAACATCTAGACCATAACCGTGTGGATAAAAGTGACATCTTCTTCTCGGTTTCTGTCTGTTACCTATTTCACAAGGAGCCCAATCACCTTGGCTTAAGTGCCTAGTGGCCCTTGCTCTTACTCTCTAGCCTAAGCAGTAACTAGGAGGTTGTAACGCAATGCTAATGATGGGATAAGCAAGGCTTTCCTTGTAATAGAGATCAACAGTGAGTTAGGAAGCAAGATATAAAATAGAGAGCAAGGTCAGTATAGCCATCCGCTCACTGTTGGTAGCTGACGCTCACTGTAAGTCATAGGATGTGAACACATCTTCATGTCTTGTAAGCATACAACCAAATAACACTCAGTGTAGTTGATGCTGTTATCTCCTCTCCTCTACCCTAACCTCTTTCCTCTTTTGTTGATGTAGGTAATTACATCTAATAATATAAAACAAATACAAAATGATGTCCTCAATAGATATAAACAAATTTATTATCTCCCATGGAAGATTTTCAGTTTCAAAGTTTTAAGAATGTATAGAAATCCTATTTTAAAGAATGAATTCACGCCTAGTATTTGGGGTTTTTATTAGAGAGCCGTACACAAAGAGTTACAGGCAACTATGAAGTGTTGAGAACAGGGGAATTACTCTTCCCTAGGGAAGAGCACACCAACTGCTTGTCAAATACTAAATGGTCATCCCTGAAAACATACATATGAATGAGTAACACACAGGCTGAGCAGGTTTAAACATGTGTGTTTATAACACCATTATTAATTAATGCAGAAAGAGGCTGTGAATTTGAGAGAGGAAGGAGAAGGAGTATATGGAAGGGGGTGGAAAGAGGAAGGGAGAGAGGCAAACGAAGCAATTATATCATAATCTCAAAAAAAGAGAAGAAAGAATTTAATAAGTAAATAACAATAAAAGGAATAATAAAAAAGTGAACCTGGGTGACAAATGTTGGAAGAGGAAAGACCAAGGAAGGAAAAAGTGGAGAAGAAGCAGGACAAGCAGAGAAGAGGAAGCTCCAGTCAGGGAATGGAGAGGTAATGAGTTGGGGGCCAGACAGGAGAGAGGTACAGACAGAAAGAAGAAAGCTGGATCACAATTCCCCACCTTCTAGGGCCTCCACCCAAATATCTGCTAGGTGAAAAGGGAGAGGCTTTCAACTTCCAATTAATTTTAAATTATTTAAATTTTTAAAGGAATTTTAAAATTTTAAATAATTTAATTTTAAATTTTAAAAGGAAGTTAAAATTAAGCAAAACAGGTAAAGGATCATTTATGAAACACTTCTGTTACAAAGTTTGCCGGGTTAGTTACTTTTTGTGGCTCTGACAAGAATTACTAACAGGAGCAATTTAAGGCAAGAAATTTTTCATTAGAGCCCTGGTTTTAGAGGATTGCAATCCAGCCTGGCGTGTCTCTGCTGGAGCAGAAGGCAGCCAGTTGGTCACATTTTGGGTGACCAGAAAGTTGGAGGAAGGGACTGGCAGCATGGCCAACCTGTAGCCCTCAAAGGTCCACCCATAGTGACCCATTTCTGACTCTCAGGACCAACAACTTCCCCTAACAGTGCCACCCATAGGGACCATCTTCGAGTCAAACCATGACGCCACCTATTCTTTTCGAAGAGAAAAAAAAAAAAATACCATCTACAAAACATTCTCTTATCTGTTGGTGGTTAAGATTTCCTCCAGGCACAGACGGGAACCAGAGTCCTGCAGGAAGCAGCAATAGCCCAAACCAAACAGGATCACCTCAGCTAAAGTTCCACACCACTAAATTGAATCTGAAATATTCGTCTGGAGATCAGAGAAATCCGGAGAGAGATGACAGCCAATATCCAGAGGCCTTTTTCAGTCAGCACAAGAAAGTCCAATCTGCCTCCACAATGAAAGTAAACTCAAGCAGCTTGCTGTTAATTAACCAACTTCACAGTCTCTGCTGCTGTTCCTACAGATCATGGGCATGAATTGGTTCTTCCCCGGACACTCTTTCGTAATCTCTTCTGTTGTACTTTCTTCACTAATTAGGCTCAAAAAATGCTACAATTTGTGTGTACGTGTGTCCTTCTGATTTTTCTCTAGCCTCTTCTTTGGATTATCAATTTTGTGTTCCATATAGTTGCAGGATGCTCACCCCCATGTCTGTTCCTATGAAGTCCATTCATATGGTTCCCAAACATAACCCCCCAGCTATGACCTCTCCTCCAAAATCCAAACATGGACACACAAATTGAATATTTCTTTGTATGTTTCAAGGAGTATTTTTTAACTTGCCCAAATATGCATGTACCAAACTGATTCTTGTCTCTGAGGTAAGTACTGCAGGTTGATTAAATCTCCATGACTCCCCTTTCCACTTCTTCTGTCTCTATGATGCTATTGAAATTCAGACTTTACTTTACCATCCACCCTTATAACCAGAAGTGTCTGTGTCACAAATTCTGGATGGCGAGCTATAAACCAGCATCTCTCCATACCCCTCTTCCTCTTATTCCTTCCTCATGGCGGGAGCTGACTATGAAATGGAACATGGCCACACTGCAGATGGTAGCGAGAAGATGCATTACCAGAAGGACCTGGCTGTTTCTGGGCACCATCATTGAGCTGGTGGCTTCATGGTGCTGACATGTTAACCACTGACTGCCTAACTGTAGTCTCTTGAATAGAGGAAATAAATGAAACTGTTAAGTGTCTCGGCCAGTGCAGTCTTGTTCTTTGTTCTTGATATAATAATAGGCAAAGCACCCTATTCCTGGTGGCTATAGCATCCTAGCCTGCTCTCTCCTGAGGTCTGCTCACCTCAGTAGAGTACTTCACCATTGCCCCTAGTCTGAAATAAGGTGGCTCTTCCAGATTCTTTTTATCACAGCTTCCAATCTTACCTCTCCCATACCAAACACACTCATTGAGTTCACCTGGAAATCCTGTGCCCTTTCTTCAAGAACAAAACAGCATTATCAATGTCTCTGTGTGTCTAAGTTAACTATAAAATCTACCCTTCTACTTCATTTGCCTCTTCCCAGTCATTTCTCAGCTCAGAAGCTCTTCTAAAACTACAAATGTTTTATGTTATATCTCTATTAAAACCCTTTACTATTCTAGTTGTACCCACAATAGGTGGAAGCTACACCTATAAGCAGGTCAGAGCCACATGCCCATAAGTCCCATAGTCTATTATATATTCACTACCCCCATCAGGTGGTTCTGGAACTCTCTCACCTCCATACAGCTCCAGCCACATCCTTTCCTTTATGTTCTAAGATCACCATGAACTCCTTCATGTCTTTCTGACCTATTAGCCCATTCTTACCCCTCTGCACACCATATTTGCATGTCCCCTTTCCACCCTTAGCTCTCAGCTTAAGTGTGTTCTAAGAGGCCTCCATTGACCATTCACTAAACTTAAATTCTCTTTTCTATTTCACCTCACTTCTCTAAAAAGTAGAATGTCCTTTATTTCTCTCTTCCTTTCTTTTATTCCCTCTTCAAAGCACTCACTATCATCCTTACTTCTGTACAATTTGGAGTCTAGTTGGAGAAAGAAGGTTTTTCAGTTTAACAAAGAAAACATAAGAAAAATAATTGAACAGGTGTTGCCAACACACACACACACACACACACACACACACACACACACACACACACACACACACACACACGGGGGGTGGAGAACTAGATGGGACATTGAGGCATTA